CATGCCTGTGATAGTCTGTTTACTACTGTGATAGTCTGTGTACTACATTGGCACGTAAAACTGAGCATTTTGTCCAGATCTTTTTCAGACCCAATGGTGTCTAATCCAATTCCTGAGGAAGTGCTGATGAACGAGGCTCTGATACAGGATCTACAGGAGGTGGCTAAGGACTCTGCCCTGCTTCAAGGTGTCCTGATGAGAACCAGAGAGAGTCCCAGTTCATCAGAGGTGAAGGGCCTTGGTATCCACTCTTTAGTGCTCGTCCAGTTCATTCGGATGAGATTGTCAATAAGCACTAATACTGTAAGCTTTTGTGTGCTTAAAAACTAGCCATCATTTGACGTTTGCGTCAAAATATTTTGTGATCTGGAATAGATGAGTATACTGTAGGACATGGGAAGAAACAGTTTTGAGTTGGCCTTCAAGGGAAATTTCATTCTAGACTAATATTTTCTGTCAAGTTTTTTTTTTTCCTGTAACATCAATAAGGTGACATTGTGCTTTGGCAGTTAGAGGTGCTGCCTTGCTCCTTTCGTGCAGATTGGACTAGAAAGATTATTTGAAAAGAATATACCTGATTAAAGAAGACAGTCTGACTTTTCACTTTCTCAAAGTACAGTGCTGGGAAGCAATGCTGATGTGAAAAATTCACCTTCTCGTTCCAGGTTGTCAGCTATGCCCCATTCACACTGTTCCCCACTCCAGTGCCACGAGATCTGTTTGAACAGGCGCTGCAGGTTCAGACACACTTCAACCTGCTCGTGGACAGAATCAGCCAAGATGCAGAGTTTCTGGAACGAGCCCTGGCAAGGTACAGTATAGAGCAGCAAACCTCGGGTGCTGGCCGTATAGCCGTAAGCTGAGAGATCACGACTGTGGTCTAAACAGATGAGTCATGAGCACTTTTACTTTTACTTTTTCTCCTCAGCACAATAGAAGTAGATGACTTCACTGCCAGACTGTTCAGCATCTACAGGCAGGTTCTTAAAGAGGGCTGTTCCCAGGTAGGCAGTGATTAGTAAAGCAGGTATTCATTAACATCTTTTCAGAAATTCCTGACCTTTTGTGCTGCATCTCAGGCTGATAATGATTTATTTGAATTAATTGTTATAAACGTACACCGAGAAGGAGTGTGATTGTATCTTTAGCTTGATTGATGCTTTCATAAAGTTTCTTATAAATGTATACATTTACTTATTAACACAGCTAGATGCATTACTGGAGCAGTAGTTCTGTGCCTTGCTCAAGGATAAAACAGCAGTTTCAGATATGGTATTTGAACTCGTTGTCTTCTATGTTCAAGTCTAGAAACCTAACCATTACTTTGCACTGCGGCCTTCTGTGTTATATATTAACCCTGGCTGTCAGGCCCTGAATGTAATGTTGTTAGTTATTTGTATCTCATGCACTTAACTGAGTAAGATTTAACTCTGTGGGCTGTCTAATTTGAACATATGTTTTTTGCAGTCTTTAGCTTTGGGGTTAAACCGCTCAGACTACATGCTGGACAGTGGAAAAGATGGCGGCACATCTTTAAAACAGATCGAGATCAACACCATAGCTGCCAGTTTTGGAGGTCTTTCCTCAAGGACTCCAATAGTTCATAGGTACGTTTCTGGGAGCCTGGGTGATATTTTCAGAGCTCCCTTGTATTACTGTGTATGAGCTGTGTGTGTTCAAGCTGCGAGTCTTTCCTGTGGTGCCCATCTCATCAACCCTGATGGTTTCCACCTTCCTGTTAAAGACATGTCCTGAAGGTTGCAGGCCTCCTAGATGTAGAGAAGAAGATCCTGGACAATAACCCAGCTGCAGGACTTGCTAAGGCCATTGCAAAAGCCTGGGAGCTCTATGGCTCTGAGAGGTGAGATGAGCTC